TTTATAGGCTTTTTTGGTCCAATGAGTAACACTTCATCTCAAAGAACTCCTGTCTATATCATTTATCAATGAGATTAAAGTCTCTAAAGAATTTATTATGAATCATTCCTAAGAATGATGTTGCATCAGGGAGTTGTGTTGTTTGTATTTTTTGATACTCAAAAAGGTGTTGGAACTATTCTCTCAAGTTTCTAGTCATTCGTGAAAGGAATTCTAAGAGTACCTCTCATAAAATTACATCCTATCTTGTCGTCTGCAAGTCAATCTATGCACTAAACTCATGAATTCTATCCCTCTATTTATGCTAAAGTAGATCATCAAAAGTAAACCATAGTCTAAATGATGGCTTCAAATTGTAAGTACTAGTTCTTGCAAAATTGTCTTCCATAAATCCTGAATCATCCTCAAGATCTTTCAAAATTAGTTTTGGAATAGGTTAGACCATAGCAATTTTGTCAATATCAACTAGTTGTTGATCACCCTCAAAATCTGTATTTTAATATGAGACTTCAATTAAAACAATTGAATCTAAGTCTTCATTATTATAAGCCTATTTAAAAATAGCTTTTTTAATAGAAGCAATGGTTTTTGTGATATTTGGGTCCACTAGGCCTTTGGCCTTTTCGGTGGATAAAAGGGGTCATTATTTAGATGGTGAAGGAGGAGGTGTTGAGATTTTCAAGAATTTTTCTAAATAAGTCTCTAGAAGCTTGATGAAGGGGGTTCATAGAGGTATATAAGGGAAATGGATACATGATAGGGTAAGTAGGATAAGATTCATAAATGGTTTTGGATGGATCTTTGACTAAATATACTTATATTCTATGTAGTTCTTTTCTAATTTCATAGGTTTCTTGTTCTTTTTTTGTAAAATCAAACCCACAATATCTCTCATCTAAATATCCTCTAAGTTCTACATCTAGTTGTTATTCTCTTCTACAAAGTCTTGTATATAGATTTTTGACTTGCTCATCCACCTGGTTAACCTGTAAGGACAAGGTATCTATTTTGTTCGTAAGATGGTTGAGCTTAGAGTTAATTCTGTGTACGACTCTATTTTGGCTGACAACATTATGAGATTTACCAGTTGAGAATTTCTCCTGCAGCTAGAACAAGTTTAATAGTTCCTTAGGGAGACACTTCAATTGCTACTACAAAAGGTTTGTAGGCCACCTTAGTTCTTTCATCAGTCTTGCGTCTTAGAGGAGGAAAATCTTCCTTATACAGTCTCATCATCACTATACAGAGCAAAGCTTGTACTTGAGCAAGTGAGAAGGTTGGAATCACAGGTTCAAATTTTTCTAATGGAACGAGATCTTCCTAGCCTAGTTCTTTGAGAAGCTCAAAATAAAAAAATTCTTTTAGTGGGAGGAGTTGGGAGTTCTATCCTATCCATCTTTTTCTGGTCTTTGCTTTATTTCTTAATTTGGCAAGAAAGATGAGTCCCTTTAATTTGAGGGCATCCATAAAATAAAATAGAATGGATTGAAATGAATATGTTGGACCATTACGTCTCTCTTATTTTATTCTATTTTATATTTTTTTTTGCCGGCAGCTCTAATCTTTATTGTATAATCCTTGAAAGTGGTTGAAGCCGTGGCAGCATAAATGAATTCTTCACCATTTTAATCATTGTATCAAATAACCAGAGCGAATAAGGGATTTCATCATATTTAATGTGAACATTATCGATCGATTATTTAACCACAAAGGCACTGTCACACGGCTAGGCGAAATGATGTAAGAATATTTTTTTTCATCACCATTATATTATTATATTCCGATGATTATTCAAATGACACTTATCATGCCACTGGGGATATATATTTTAAGTGACGGTGGCGGCATGATTTAAAACTTCCAGAAATCATCCAAACAAAAAATAATGCTTATTTGATTGAAGTTCGTTAGGTATTTGTTAAAAAAAGCAGTCATGTCAGCGCAAAGAAATTTTGGTTGATACTCATTCCGTTTCTAAATGTAAGACGTAGTTAATTAATTTAAAGAGATTGAAAAGATTGATTACGTTAGTCATTGATCATTACTGTATAAAAAATATGAGACTGTTTCTAATATTAACCCCTCCATCTTTTGATTTTTAAATTTAGGCTCGGTAAAATTTTGAGGTCATTTTTAATAATTAATTTGTGAATTTGGTCCTTCATTGTAATTCTTTAATTTAAAAACTCGGTTTTTAATTTGATCTTTTAATATCACTTACACCAAAGAGTGACGTTAATCGTCTCCGTTAAAATGGTGAGTCTAGAGGGCACTATTTATAGATTGGTGCAACGTAACATGGTGATCCAAGTTGTATGATCACAGGCACACACATGCCAATGTATACGTATGTGTATAGAGGTAGGATGGGAAATATATAAGAAAAATTACATTTAGATCTCTTGAAGCAGATTTATTTACAAAAAAATTCTACAAAATTTAGAAATTAAAACTAAGTTCCTTGAGATTTAAGTGTAATTTAAAATTAAAATAAAAAACAATAATATTATTATTAAACATAGATACATTATACCACTCAAATAATTTATAATTATTTCATCAATGATAATTAGTTGAATTATTGAAAATGTAAAGTTACAGTTGTAAAAAATTAAAGTTATAATTATAAATTGATGATAAAGTAATTGTAAATAATTAATATTAAAGTTTATTAGTAACACATAATTATTTAACTATTAAATATATGAAGTTACAGTTATAAAAAATTAAATTATAATTGTAAATTATTGATGAAGTAGTTGTAAATTAATTATTAAATTAATATAATATATGTTTAATTAAAGTATTATTATTTTTACAACTTAATTTCAAATTATAGTTAAATCTCAAGGAACTTGATTATGATTTTTAAATTTTATGAAACTGATTTTTTTTTATGGAATCTATACATAATTTTTTCAAATATATAATATACCATTATAAGAAGGAGAGACAAAATGAATGAGAACAGGAGAAAAAAAAAATGGCAACCAAATCGAAATGGATCGGAGAACCCATACCCACAAGCTGATCTAATCTAACAATAACTTCATACGAAAATGATAAAAAAAAAAAAATAATTTTAATGTTTTACCAAATTTTATTCTATTGTTGTCGTTAAAGGCCCTGTTCGAAGATCAGCTCCATTTTGGCCAAAAAAAAGAAATCAGCTCCATCATTTCATCTTTCATCCCTATAATTTGTGCAAGCATTCACTTTTCTTTTACCCAACCAAAAAAAAAAGCATTCACTATTCAATATATCATATTCTCAAATATATACTCTGACTATAACATTCATATATTAATATATATTATAAAATTTTTAATAGATTATATTATATATAATTCATGAATAACAGCTTCTTACTCAGGCACTCTTTCTCTAAAAAAATATTTTTTTTTTAATTTAGGTCACAAACTTTTTTTGGGGTATGATTTAATCAATCTTTCTAGCGTGTAAAATATTTAGAAATTATAACACAACACATCAACCGTGATATTCAGGTGCCGAATGAATATATATATATACACACACCTTTCACAAGTCTCCTCTGATCAAACAAATACATAAATATAAGAAAAAGAGAAAATTACAAAATTAATAAAATGTGGGTCTATGGAATTCTTAGTCTTATTTCTCATAAAATTTAAGTGTCATGTATTGTTTATAAATAGGTTTTACAGTAGCATTTGACATCATCCACTTTCTTTATTCTAAGTTCTAACTGACTCTTCTTTGTGTTTTTCTTTCTTAATCAAAAAATAATCATTCGCTGAAGCTGAAATATGTCATCTAGAACTAATTAAGTGCTTAGAATGTCTGGAGACGTACAGAGTTCAGGTGCCAGCAGGGACTTAGGTGTCAAGGATCTGGTCCAACACATGTCTGCCACGTGCACCGAAGACCCCTTATTACTTACACGATTCCAAAAAGCAATATATGGTCCGTCAATCATGCTCGACATGATCATCCCATGAATTTAGATTAAGGCGTCCCTGTGATGTAAGGCGTCCCTGTGATGTAAGGCAGGGTTCTCAAATCTCAATCTCATCCTTTTTTAAAAAAAAAAAAAATGGGTTGGTTGAATGGATAAGAGTGTCCTTTGGAGGTTCGCAAAAGCCGTTGTACTAAGAACCGCTCATCATTCTGATTGAATCTATGCCACGAGCCACGTGGCATTCACATGATAATGACGATAATAATAATAATATTGAGAGATCAACCATGGATAAAAGGTTAGATCGCCCACACTGCAAGAAAGTCAATCATTCCTCATTGCTTAAGTAAAACACATAAACAACTTTCACGTTGTTTTAACCAGATCATTCAAGAGGGGAAAAGTTAGGAGAAAGATGAAAATACCACCATCATTTTTCATGAATATTCGGCATAGGTGCTCGGGGAGAAAATGGGATTTTAACTATACATTTGACCTCGGAAATTACAGAAGTGGAGGTTGACAAATTACCCGTATGAATGTGTGATTTTAATATCATACTCCCTCTATGAAAAAATATAAAATATTTTTAATTGAATCTCACTCTTAGTAAAATAGTTATCTATTTTTAAATTAATTCTATCTTTTCATATTTATTTTTATTAAATATTTTTTAATAAATATAAAGTCAAGACATTAAAAAAATGATAATTATATCATGAAAAATTAAAAATATATTATATTTTTTAACATTTAATTCTTTAAAAAATATTTTATATTTTTAAATAAAAGGAATATCTGCTTTCAGTTTTCAAAACCTGAAACTTCAAAAGTTTATTGGTGCCCAGATCTTGTCCTCCACATGCTCCATGGATTTTCTGCAGCACATGTGGATATCATGGTTTGATTTAATGCCGGGCCTAAGAGATAGAGGCTATAATTATCAATATTAAACATTAAACATCAAATCATTAGGTTAGTAAGACAAAAGCTAAACAGTAAGCTCCAAGACAACAGCTACGCTATCGAGTCCTCACTTTTGCTGTTAAATAACACCTGATTAATATTGGTGGGGTGGTTGCCTTTACTTCAATCCATAGCCAAATAATATATTGCCAACTGCAGACCTTTACAAGCTCTCGACTCTCAAGCCAAGCTGTTCCAATGGGGGATAATACCAGCAATCTTGAAGAAACAGTCATAAATCACAGCCATGAAGGGGAAGTTGAAGGAGAAGAGAGAGACCCAGAAAGCAATCCCCTGAATGAGCCACTGCTCAAGAGGAATCGCACACTTTCCTCCAATCCACTTGCTTTGGTTGGAGCCAAAGTTTCCTACATAGAAAGCTTGGACTATGAGTAAGATTGGTTTATGAAATTCCAGTGTGTTACTACAAAGTCAAGCTTATCATATTGAAACAAGCTTTGCCTTGATGATGCAGGATAAATGAGAATGATCTGTTCAAGCATGATTGGAGGAGCAGATCGAAAGTTCAAGTTTTGCAGTACGTATTCTGTAAATGGACACTGGCTTTCCTTGTTGGACTTCTTACAGGACTTGTGGCCACCTTCATCAATCTTTCAATTGAGAACATTGCAGGTTACAAGATTCTCGCTGTTGTCAAATTCATCGAAAATGACAGGTCGGAGCAAAACTGCCTCGAATTCTAATATTTCCAGCGACAAAGTTTCCAACAAGGTCATAGGTTATTTAGTGTGTAACTCTTGATCAACATGATCGATGCAGGTATTTAGCGGGCTTCCTGTATTTCACAGGCATGAATTTCCTATTAACATTCGTTGCTGCTGTTCTGTGTGTGTGCCTTGCACCCACAGCAGCTGGACCTGGTATACCTGAAATTAAAGCTTATCTTAATGGCGTCGATACTCCCGACATGTACGGTGCCATGACATTGATCGTCAAGGTCAGTTGTTGCTTCATCTCTATGTTACATTCCTTTCTCTTTTTTCTGATTCACTTCCAATTAAGCCCTTAATGAAAAAGGAAAGATAGTTGCTTTCCCATTGCCAACAAGGTTTCCATTGGCTTTTCATTTTCCCTACGCCTTTTATCATAGTGGCCATCTAAATATTGTCCCATCCACAGTGTTATTTTCTGTTAATTTTCATTCTGTTCGGTCCTTTTGAAAGAGATGCAGAGCTATGAGTGCCCAACTATTGCGAGAATCTGCGGGATTAAATATTAGTGGTGGCGCACTGATATCAGAATATGACATATAATAACAGGGAATTTAGAGTGCGCAAAGCAAAAGTGCTCAAGTGATTGCAATTTGTCTTGTATGCATGCTTCTGAACAATCAAGATGGATGGATAGTATCGTGTAATTGTGCTAACAAACATGAAATGGAAGTGCTCTTATCCTAATTAAGATGCCAAAAATATTAAAAAAGAATGACTAGTCAAGTTCACGAGTCTGTCGATTTGTACGAGTTACAAAACACAATTATGAAATGAAAATGGCGTGATATTCAAAATGCTGTCACCAACGTGATCAACAGTGAATAGCCAATGCATTATCACATGACTCCTGATATACATATGCTTGTAGATAATTGGAAGCATTGGAGCTGTAGCTGCAGGGCTGGATTTAGGAAAAGAAGGACCGTTGGTGCATATTGGGGCCTGTATAGCCTCCTTACTGGGCCAAGGAGGCACAGAGAAATACCGGATCAAATGGAGATGGCTTCGATATTTCAATAATGATCGAGACCGTCGGGATCTCATTACATGTGGAGCTTCCTCAGGGGTTTGTGCAGCATTCCGGGCCCCAGTTGGAGGAGTCCTGTTTTCTCTAGAAGAGGTGGCAACCTGGTGGAGAAGTGCTCTCCTCTGGAGGACCTTTTTCAGCACAGCTGTGGTGGCCGTAGTTCTCAGGGCCTTCATTGAGATTTGCAACTCTGGGAAATGTGGCCTCTTTGGCACAGGAGGGCTGGTCATGTTTGACGTCAGCAATGTCACTGTGAGATACCATGTCATGGATATCATCCCTGTTGTTCTCATTGGCATCATTGGTGGGGTACTGGGTAGCCTCTATAACCATCTTCTTCACAAGGTACTCAGAGTCTACAGTCTCATCAATCAGTAAGCACTCATATCCAATCTCTCTCTCTCTCTCTCTCTCTCTCTGTGTGTGTTTTTCTTTCGTTCTTCCTTTTTATCAATGGTATTTGATATCTGGTGGTACTGGATCATATTCAAGCATTGCCGAGTCCCAGATGGGGTAACTCTTCCTGAGACATCTTTTTGCATTCACACAGACTCAAAACAAGACCTCGCGGTTATAATCTCTTTCCCTAGTGCCTATTTTGGTCCCATCCAATCCTAATCTCACTATTATATAAAGCTCAGATAAGTGTTCAAGTTTCGTATAAAATGCAAAGCCCAACCAGTCATAACATTTTAGCGTATTAAATTGACATTATGTTTACCTTCACTGCATTCTCTATTCACAATCAACAATGATGATTTACCTTTTTATTAAATGCAGGAAGGGGAAAATGCAGAAGCTCCTCCTCAGTCTATCAGTTGCACTATTCACATCAGTGTGCCAATATTGTCTTCCATTCTTCACAAGATGCATTCCCTGTGATCCATCACTTCCAGAAAATGCCTGCCCCACAAATGGACGATCTGGAAATTTTAAACAATTCAATTGCCCCACTGGCCAATACAATGAGCTTGCTACGTTGTTGCTCACCACTAATGATGATGCTGTTCGAAACATATTCTCAACCAACACTCCTCATGAGTATCATCCATCTTCGCTCCTGATTTTCTTCGCACTCTATTGCATATTAGGACTGATTACTTTTGGGATTGCTGTTCCATCTGGGCTCTTCCTCCCAATCATCCTCATGGGTTCAGGTTATGGCCGTCTTCTTGGCCTCTTGATGGGACCTCACACAAAAATTGACCAGGGGCTGTTTGCTGTCCTGGGTGCAGCCTCCCTCATGGCAGGTTCAATGAGAATGACAGTATCAGTTTGTGTGATCTTCCTTGAACTCACCAACAATCTTCTGCTACTACCCATTACAATGCTTGTTCTCCTAATAGCAAAGACTGTCGGAGACAGTTTCAACCCTAGCATCTACGAAATTATACTGCAATTAAAAGGCCTTCCTTTCTTGGACGCAAATCCTGAGCCATGGATGAGGAATCTCACAGTGGGTGAGCTTGTTGATGTGAAGCCACCGGCAATCACCCTAAATGGAGTAGAGAAGGTAGACCGTATAGTGGAAGTCCTTAAAAACACTACACATAATGGATTCCCTGTGGTGGATGAAGCAGGGGAAGCTTCAACAGGAATTGCCAAGCTTCATGGACTGATCCTAAGAGCACACCTGGTGAAAGCGCTGAAAAAGAAATGGTTCCTGACGGAAAGAAGGAGAACAGAGGAATGGGAAGTGAGAGAGAAATTTACGTGGGTGGATCTGACAGACAGAGAAGGGAATATTGAGGAGGTCGCTGTGACGAGGAAGGAAATGGACATGTTTGTTGATCTACATCCTTTCACCAATACGACTCCTTCGACGGTTCTGGAGAGCACATCGGTGGCAAAAGCGATGGTCCTCTTCAGACAACTAGCACTTCGCCATTTGCTTGTGTTGCCCGATTATCAAGAATCCGGGGTGAGTTTATTCCATGCAGATATTGATTGATTATTATTGTTTCACTAGTTTTCAGGCAAAATTATTGATTAATTATTCAAAAAAGTCATGAATGACTTACCTGATAGTGCTCTCTCATCGCAGGTATCTCCTGTAATTGGCATCTTGACCAGGCAGGATCTACTAGCCCACAACATTCTTACAGTCTTTCCTAACCTGAAAAAAATGTGAGGGCAGAGGTAAAAAGGAACAAAACGTTTCGTAATAATTGAACGGCTACGCAGCTTCTTAGAACGAAGTCTCCATTTTCATTCCTGAAAGAGCTCCTCGTCAGTTTTGTATTACGTGGATCGAGGTACAGGGATGAATTTGATACAGCGCGGTGTATGACAACTACATTGTTGAGTACTCTTTTTCATTTTTCTCTTGATTTTGCCACGTAATGTATCCGCTTTTTTTCTTTAAAAAAAAAAAAGAACATCTATCTATTTTATTTTCTTCCATTCTAAATTATTGTTATTGATTTGTATTTCTAGGAAGTAAAGACAACTCCACGTCCAAATTGAGTAGTTAGCTAATTTGCATACTATTTATTTATTTATTTCTCTTTGTTTCTCGATTTCTTTATTGACAAATTTTATTCTTGGAGCCCAAATAGAGTAATAAGCTAATTTGTATATTATTTATTTCTTTTTCTTCCTTGATTTCTCTTAGACAACTTTTGCTGCTGCCGCTGCAGGCTGTTTCACAAGGTCTCACATAGTTCCCCTCAAGGTTACATAAAAATTTATCGTGAAGATCAATAATCCAATTCCTCAGTAATCATATATCATATAATATATCTAAAATACGTGAAATCACTTGAAAAAAAAAAAACCAAGCTACTAATAGCTAAAACAATTCATGCATTATGTTATCAAAGGGGGGAAAAATTCATGCATTAACAATTTAACATACCGAATATATTAAACACATTGTTTTCATCGATATATTTTGACAACTACAGTTAAATAACACATGTTCGCTGAAGGATCTTTATAAAATTCCCTTAAGCTGCAGCCACCGACATGATGAACTCCACGTTAAGTCATTAACTCAAACTGCAAGATTAATCGTCAGTTCCGAAGTAACGATCACCAAACTCACCCAATCCTGGGATAACACGGAACTCTTCATTCAAGGCAACATCAATCTCGGATGTGACAATTTTCAAGGATGGAAACCTTTTACACACACAATGGATTCCCTCCGGTGCCTGAATTTAAAAACCAGCCCGTAAGTTCCATGTATTTTTAAGAGTGTTATAATAATTTAACAACTCAAATCACGTCTATGAAGGAATCAAAAGTAACTCACAGAAATGAGATTTAGGAATATTATGTAAGATTCTGGAACTCCCTTCTGTATGAGCAGCTCAATTGCTTGGTTTGCAGAGTTACCTACAACAGAAATCCTGATGTCAGTTTTCATTTAGCTTGGAAGCAAATGGTTTAGGCAAACCATAACACATCCTGAAAAGCTAACAATAGACAACCAGACATGTTCAGCAAGCCAATCTCAACACTGTAATTTAAATATACTTTAGTATGTGACTAATTTCAGGCTTTACAGGTTCCTTCAGTGGTGGCCAACAGATAGCATTCTACTTCTACACACCAAAAAATAAATCCAGTACTATAATCCAAACGCTGGCCTGTTCTTGCAAATAAATTGGAATAAATTGTGTTAATTTCTTCCAGCTACCACTTCTTTCTACATGTTTGGTATGGAGTTCTTCCCCAAGAATTCAAAAATTGATAAAAGGGTGAGCAATAATGGCTAGCATAAAGTCTGATGAAGCCAATTCAAAAGTGACACAGCAAAGTTGAATAGGAAATCATTTAAAGGTTCTAGGGTGGCAGAAAGCACCAGTAGCTAGGACAGGGTCAAGAAGCAAGACATGCCGTTCTGATATGTCCTTGGGAAGCTTCTCATATATAAGCTGCTTAAAGGAGAAACAATTTAATAGTTAATGCATATAAGTTATAAACATATATTATCAATACAAAGCCCTCAAAGAGGAACATTTTTAATTAACTTCCATTATGTTTTGGGAAAAAAAAAAGGTTTATTTACGTCCCTTCAAGGACATCCAACAAACAAAGTTAATTTACCTGCTTGCCATAATCTCCATCTCTGTGGATCAGAATCTTTCCAATTTTTATGCCTTTGCAACATGCTCGTAGAGCATTCTCCATGCTTTCACCACTACAATGTAAAAACAAGGGGGAAAATTCAAGGGAATAGCCTATACATAGTGGCAGTGTATGACACCTGATTTGCTATTAAGACTCAATGTTCAAGGAATAATAAAAATACATGAGAATTTCAAAATGTTAATCTAACAAAATAAGGCCACTTAAATGCATTTACTTAAACATTGTATTTCTTGTATTATATCATTTAGAGGCTGAACCTGCCAAAATTAATACCTGGTTCAAAGCTCACCTTCGGACAATAGAAACACCGCACAACTTTTTGCAGAAGTCAACACCAGTATAGACAGATCCTGAAACATAAAACAGAAATCAAAATTTACAGATTGCACTTGCTTTCAGGCAGTAGATGATTTAAATGAAAGGAGAAAAACTCCTTAAGCATGTGTCAACAACCTAGAGAAGGAAACCACGATTCTCAAAGCTCCTAAAGTCTAGACCACAACAAAACTCAAACATTAAAATTTTATTTTTGAAAAGAAACAAGACTAGCTGTATAAGTTCACCTACTATAAATAGAGAAGAAAGTGCCCATTCAGAAATAAATGAGGGTTTATATAAGAGAAAAATCTTGTTTGCTTAAGCTCATATATCTAAGGTACATTATTCTAATCAAATCAGGAGAAGTGGATTTTTTTTTTTTTAATGCATAACTTATCCTATAACTAACTCTTGTCACTTATTTTTAAATTTAAATCGTCTGATTTGATTGAACTAAAGTACCTCAAGTATACGAGCTTAAGTCTTCCCTTTATATAAGATCGTTGATAGACCTTGCATCTTCATTCAATGTCTACAGGGCAATCAAGATAAACATTCTACGAAAGATCATTTCAGGTAATCCATGGGGATAAAATGAACATCCAGACATCTGATCAACAAAACCAAGCACATCTCACAACAGAACAGTTTTGCAACGCATAAATCCTATTTTCCAAAAAGGGAAGGAGAATACAAAGAATTTGAAACTTCAAATATGATGATTGGAGAAGAGGATAGATGATTACCTGTTGGAGTAACCACTTGCTTTTCAGTGAAAGGCAAATGGCCAAGGCCATGCTCAACAACCTGATATAGATATCCCCAAAAGCCGTCATTGTTCAGTGTTCTAAGTAATGAAGATATGAAAACCAATGAAGTTTAGCAAAAAGGTTGAATAGCACTGAGTACCAGACGTATGAGTCGGTCTGAATAAAATACAAAGTCATGCTTTGATATATCTTTGTCACGAATCAATGTGTGCATCCCCCTTATCTGAAATGTTTAAGCATAACCAGTGGATAACAGTTAAAACCTTCGGCTAAAATCTAATCCAACACATGGCTTCCATGGATACAAACAAAATAAAGCTTCATAACGCAAATTTACCATCCACTTCTAATTCATGAAATAGAAGAATAAAATAAAAAAGGTCTAAGAAAGTTCCAAGCATGAATACCTGGAACGTTGACTGGATGACATACACATTCGGATATATTTTGCATAGATCATGTTGACCAAGTTTTGTATGTATATGCTGGACAATCAGATCAATGGCAACATGATTATCACCACCACGGGGGATGATCACATCAGCATATTTCTTTGATGGAAGAACAAAATCATCAAAGGCAGGCTTGACAAACTTTGCATACTGCACAACAACATTACAATTAGTCGCAAATGCACAATGTGATTAATTACATTTGATGAGGAACATTTATTTTTTCACAGAAAACTCTCACTGCCATATTGAAATTTCCCAAAAACATATAAATTTATTAAAAACAGATGTCATCATTTGCACATTCGCCAATAACCCTGTGGTTACTATTTAATTTACCATGTGTACCTGTTCAAGAACAGAGTTTATATCCCTACCCCTCTCCACTGTATCACGTCGAATTCTACGAGCAAGCCTCACATCAGCATCTACCGGCAATTAATAGCCCCAAATACAACATTAGATAGATAAATAACTAGAGAGAGTGGAGCTTCCATCACTAAAACAAATAATGAAAAAATTAGCATTCTTTTACAAAAGAACTCAACAGAGACAAGAATGGAAAGACAAAGAAGGTAGCTAAGCTAAGATTCTTTAGCTAGAAAGAGCAAGCCCATGAGTTCAATACCGATAGAAATCTCGGGCAATACATCAATAGGCATATTGAAATGAATTAGACGCCACAAAGAAATCTGAATCATTATAGATTTAAAGGATATCTTTACATTTACCCACAAAAGATAACAAGAAAGCATTCTGCGCTTTTAACTATCTAGATTTTCAATGAAAATCACTGTTTAAGCAATTCAAGCATAAGAACCTGCAATGCTATTCTGTCACAGCAAAAAAGTATGCTGGCAATTTATAGTTTTATCCAAAAAAACTAATAAAGTCATCTTTGCCCCATGGTTCAACAAGTATTTCTACAGCAATTATATTCTGAGTTGATTATCTGTTGAGATTCATCCATATATCCTTAACATGAATTAGCCCTGCATGTTTTCAATCATTCAGCCGAAAAACTACACAACATCAGAACCCAGCAAAAGTAATTTGAGGCACAGACAACAATGCAATGCAAAACATAGCAAGGGGGCATTGATCTCATGACAAATTATTACAAAATAATATAATCAACGTTGGCTTGTATTGACAGACAACATATTCACACACATGATACACCATGGGAAGGAGATACAAATGGATCAGACCTGTGTCAACAAAGATTTTCATGTTCATCAAATCACGAACACGTTGGTCATGGAACACAAGAATTCCCTCCAAAATAATGACATCAGAAGCATTGACCTAGCACATCCATCAATACTCTTTATCAAAAGGTCATTAGAAAAATTGATTAAAACGAACAGTTATTAGCATAAAAAACAATCTGATACATTTGACATGACTAAAGAATTCATCAGGTGTAATATGTACTGTTAAGTGTGTAATTCGTGATTCACAGATCTAATAAAATTTTCCCTCGCAATGTTGATGCGTGAAACTAACTAGAAAACAGCTGCACAACATGTTAATAACTACAATTTCTTTTTGGTCATCTCACCTACTGCATTAATAAAGCTTGAAAATAAACTCGTGTCTCAAATCAAGGTGGATCATGAAAATGGAAGGATTTGCAGATCACAAAATAGTAAAAATGGAAAAAGCAAAGGAACTTTGTCAAAGTGATGGAGGATGATTTCCAAGGGGCAAATTACATAGTAGTTAAATAAAAATAAGATTGACAGTTCCAAAGACAATTAACATGATATAAGGTGATACCTGCCGAAAACTATCTGAAGAGCGCTGGTGCTTCTTGAAGTCATAAATTGGGACTTGAACTGAGTGGCCACTTATGAGTTCTTGCATGCATTCTAATAGTTGTTCAGTGTCAAAAGCATCTACAAGAAAAAAGCGGAATATACTTCAAAGATTTAACAAATACTCGAAGCAAGCCCCAAAAAAAAAAAAAAAGTATAATAGGACAGAAAGAGGAGACCACTAAAAGTTATCTTTATGGGCACATGAAGTCGCGGAGAGTAACAGAAGAGCTAGGCCACTGAATAATTCAAAGAATCCCGATGATATAGGAGGTACGTATGAATTACCAGGATGATCAAAATTATACTCGTGTGCACGTTCCGATTCTTCAGGCGTCAAACCACGATAAAACGAATCCTACAGGTAAAACATCGTAACTAGATAGCTAATAGAAAGCAGCCAGAAAAAGAAAGGAGAGACATAAAACCTGATTGACTAGCACAACGCGGTGATCGTGTAGCTGTTGGATTATCATGTCACAAACAGTGGTCTTCCCTGAAGCTGTACCTCCCGAAACACCTACACATTCAATCAGCCCAAATCATAATGATGGAATTAAAACAGTGAAGCCATGGCTCAACGAACAAGAAAAGGAGTTTAGAAAATGAAAGCGTAAGATTCAAGCACATTCAATAAATACAATCACTGGAAAAAGTGTAGCCATGGCTCAACGGACAAGAAAAGGAGTTTAGAAAATGAAAGCGTAAGATTCAAACACATTCAATAAGCACAATCACTGGAAAAAGTGTCAACCTGTTTCAAAGAATGGAAAGCATAGCTGAGAGTTGGAATTGAAGAGAAAATTACCGATAACGAAGGGCCGTGCGGGAGTAGAATCACAGGGTAGGGTTGAATCCAGAGCAGAAGCGGCAGCGGAAGTAAATCGATGAGCAGGTGAAGAAGCAGAAGAAGAAGGCGGAGAAGAGAGGAGACCGTCAAGGCGGAGGCCCGAGAAGTGGGGCCCGGAGGCAGCCTCCATGACATAGTCGATCGATGTGGTCTCCTCCGGCATCGCTGTGTACTCCGTCTAGTCACACCTTTTCCGTGGAGAAAAATAAGATTTGGGAAGCGTCGCCATTGCCGGACGAAAAAATGACAATGGCCATGGGCATTTTGTCACGCGACTAAAACATCGAACACGCCTTTATTCCTCACTATTATAGTGGCAAATTTGATAATAAATTTGGTCATAAATAAATTATTAGATGATATAAAATAAATTATGAACTTAAAAAAAAATATTCAGTAACTCATTGTTAACTTTAACTGATGGACGTCATGTGAAACCCGTGATAATATGTGGCACGACACATCAGCATAATAAAGATACAAATTTAATTATGAATTATTTTTCTGAGAGTGTTAGATAGCCTCTACTATAAAAAAAACAGACCATCCAACACATTTTCCTTAATTTTGACTAAACATCATTTATTTTCATACTTATAAGGCCCACAAAACATTAATATCTTCAATTTTCTTACCTTTATTCTCAATATAAGATCTAGAAGAAAAGGTTCAATAAGTTTTTATCTGAAAACCTTCACAAGGATGATGCCAATGAAGTAAAAGCTTAAATTTACTATGCATAAGAGGAAGCTTAATTCTAGCTTAATTTAATCACGAATTATTTTTTCTATTTTGTTAACGTCGTCTCGATAAATGTTTTTGGATAAAAACTCATTGAACCTCTTTGTCTGGAGCTTATATTGATAACGAAGGCAAGAAAATTAGAGATATTAATACTTTGTAGGCCTCATAAGTATGCAAATAAATGATGTTTAGTCAAAATTAAAAGGAAGATGTTGGATGATCCGTTTTTTTATAATACAGGCTACCCAACACTCCCAAAAAAATAATTCGTAGCTAAATTTGCTTATTTACCATACTGACGTGTTGTGCCTGTGTCGTGCCATGTGTCATTACGAGCACCACATAACGTGCGTCAGTTGAAGTTAACGACGGGCTATTGGATGCTTCCTTTTTGAAAGTCTGTGATTTATTTTACACTATCTGATAGTTTAAGCTATCATATACTCCTTAAAAAATAATTTGTTATCAAATTTGCTACTTTACCCTTAAATAAATGTGAATGAAATAAAATAATTATTACATTATATTGATATAAATAAAGCCAATGGCAAGAGGTTGAATGAGAAGGAGGTTGTGAGATCTATTCCATGCTCACCAATCACCTCACAGTGAAGAGGTAGTTATGTAAATGTACAATATTGTTTGTACTTAGTCCATTTTAAAATATATATATACATATATATAACTAAAATTGATTGATTATTTATATTTTTTATTATATCATTCAAAAAATAAATAAAAATTAATTTGCAAATTCTTCTAATTTTTCTCAATTTCAAATTAAATATATCTATTTTATTTTATTTTAATTAATCTTTTATAATATGATCAATTAAATATGTTAATTCTTAATGTTAAAACTATTAATGCATAATTAAATTTTTTAAAAAAATATTTTTAAAAATTATAGAGAATGTGATTTAATACTTTTAGCCCAAAAAAATCATTTAATATGATGTTTACATTTTTACTAACTTTTTTATAAAAATTATATATGTATAAAAGTTATTTAGAATGCATAATCTAATTACATAATTTTTAAGTTAAAAAAGTTATGTGATGAATTCTAAAGTTATATATTCTTTTAATAAATAAAACATAAAAGTTCTTAGTTTCATTTTTAAAAAAATTCAAGGATTTTAATCTTAAGAATTAACATATTTAATCTATTAAACTATAACAACTTAATTAAAATAAGATACTATCTCTGTTCAAAAATGTAAGTATTTTTAAATGAATATCATTCCTAATAAAGTAATTACTTATCTTTAAACTAATCATATCTTTTTATATTTACCATTATTTAATAAAGTGTTTAACCCAAAAAAATATAAAATAATCTATTCAATAAGGGCACTTTTGAAGAAAAAATATAATGATTACACTTTAAAAGACTCAAAATATTTTATATTTTTTAATATCCAATCCCTCAAAAAATAATTTATATTTTTTAACAGGAAGAGTAAATTACAAGACCTAGTTTAAGATTAAAAGAAACTGTAAGAACTTGAAGATTAATTTTTTAAAAAAATAATATTAGGATAAAACTTTTTTACCTCTTTTTATTGTGTATTATTAAAGTTGGCTTAAAGTTTGGATGATTATGTGATAACTATTAAGATGTTAAAATCACTTGCTTTTACATTAGAACCAGCCACATCCATGTCAAGTGAAGATTATTAATGAAAATAAATAAATAAGTAAAACTGATTCAAAACTTTACAATAGATAGTATTTTAAAAAATATATGTTAAATATAACAATGAACATAAGCGTATAAATTCAATAAACAAAAGCACCACAATTGACAATGAAAAAAACTTGCTCTTTTGCTTTTTAAAGCAAGGCCACGGAAAAACCGTGTAAAGAAGACTAAGGTTTATTCATATCTAAAGTCATTAGGCTTATACAATCAAGGGGCAGATTTTCAAAGATAAAAATATTGAAATCTTTGTAGGATGCCTTATGGGTTGGAAGATCAACACATTTATTAGCTTCCCTATAAACATGGTCAAAGGTAACCTCTCAATCTCTCATGAAGAGCTCTTGATATTCTTGATAATCATAGAGAGTGGATAGGTATCGTAGTAGCTATTAGTAATGAGCGACAAGGTTTCTAAAGAGTCAGAGTAGGCATTAATTTTGAAAAGATCCTTATTCCAACAAAGATTGAGTCTTTCTAAAATTCCCAAGAGCTCAACTATTATATTTAGGTAACAACCAAGATATTTAGAGAATCCTTTAATTCAATTTCCCTTGTCATCTCTGATAATACCACCCAAGCAGCAGCACATTAGTAGTAGTAGAGCCATCAACATCAAATTTAACCCAACTAGGTTCAAGAGGATTTCATTTAGCTTCATATTTGTCGTTATTTGTAACACCCTCAAAAATACAAACCGATTTTTCGCAAATTATTAAAACCGTTATCATGGTAGAAAATTTTCTTACCATGATACATCCAAGACAATATACCACAGGTCTTAAAATATCTCAAAAAAACAATTAGAACTATGAGGGACAGTCAGGATCCTCGTGGCATGATATTTAAATTAGGTCATGAATCAAGAGAGACAAACATAATCCTCTTGGTCAAATAAATACTTTTAATAAAAAGGATTAGAGTTTACATGCTTCACAAAGAAGATATGTCCTAAGTTGGCACAAGATACATTATATAATCTAAAATAAGAGGCAACGTAAAAGATGGTGTTTCATACACCATAGTTACACCTCTGGTGCTTTCTCGGCCGGACTCGCTCCTGTAAAAATATTAACCACGGGGAATGAGACTTAAAAGTTTCAGTAACCAAAAATTAATATGTAATGATGCATGCGATTGTAACTAATCATGCAATTGCTAAGTGGGCACACAAAACATTTAACCGAATAATATTTTCAAACAAACCGAACAAGTATTTAATTTGCATGACTACACCTTATATCCTCCTTTCGCCATGCTCGGACGCCAAATCACCCAGCCAAAGGTGAGTTGGACCAAGCGACACGCCACTCATTGGGTCCAATGAGGGCTTACCACGTGGTAATAATTAACCGAACAGAAATTTTCCATTAACACCATACATTAAAATACCCTGACAAGTCATGCATCATTCAAATATCCAAACAGGAATATATCCGAACAATAATATCTCATCATGATAAATAAAAATAAATTTTTAACCCACTTGGCAATAATTTCAAACAGTATATAACAGTATTTATTTTCAATAATTCATAGTTTTTTTCAAACAACAAGTCAACACATAACCATTCACAAACACACTCATCACAACACATTAATAATGGTTACCTTGTGTCTTGAATAACAAGTTCTCCTTCACAACTCCTTTTTCACCACTATCTTTGTCAATATAATCTACATAATTATTTCACAATACTATATATTAATTTTACATTAAAATAAATAACTCTAATTTAAAGAATTAGAAAGTCTTAGATCTATAATCTATATTAATACTAATTTAAGATTTATGCCTCATTTAACTTCCCAAATTCTTTTTCTAAAATTCTCGTACCCTAATAAACTATTTTTTTATCCTCAAATCACTTCTAGTATCACAATTTCATCTTTCTATATTCTAAAAATTCGTCCAAAAATAAATTAAAAATTTTAAAATTATCTTGAAACCTCAAATCACCTTTCTATAACCTTAAAAATACATATTCATACTTAAATAAATATTTAATAATCAGAGATTTATCCCTACATCTCAAATTCCACATAAATTCAACCATATAGATCTAGATTTTAACTCAAAAATTCTTAAACATGAGTTTTAACCTCAAGAAAATATTCTATAATATTTATTATATCCCTAAGAGTTTTAACCTATATTTTTAATCCATCATATCATCAGATTAACTATCCTATAAAAAAATCCTAATCAGAATATTTACTCTATCCTACAAAATAATCATATCACTAAAAAGCTAATATTATTTAGAAAATAACTATAAAATTAATTTTGTAATTAAATAAATTTTTTAAATGCTAATCTAAATAGGAAAGTTAGAACATACCTAAAGAAAAAGAAAATAATCCCCCTCTTGCAAGAAGACGCCGACCAACGTGAGAGGAAGAGAGAAAAATAATATAAAAATGGGATTGTGGATCCCAAAATTATATTAAAAAAAACTATAGGTTTAAATTTAATTATTCAAACCTTTGGGCCATTACTTGCAATTTTCACAAATTGCATCTTGGGCCCTTAGTTGCAATTTTTACAAATTGCAATAAATAATTCATTATGCTTCCTCCACAATGCACCTCCTCTTTTTATACATGAGGAGGTGCCTTTCATTCCCACATCTAACCGATGTGGGACTAAACCCCCTCCCTTTTTTTTTTACTTTCTTTTCTTTTTTTTTTAAACTCTCACACACACGTAATTTTTTTTTAAATCTTAAAATTATATCTTAACAAAATATTTCTTATATAATTTTAAACTTAAGTTTTTAAATTCATAATTAAATGCCTACCCATATTATTAAAATAACCTCAAATA